GGCCCATCTGTAGTCCCCAGGCCAGAGGAGCCCACAAGACGATCATTACCAAGCATCTGTCTGCCTTTGTCACAGGGTTCTCAAGGGCAGAGAGAAAGGCCCTGAATTGCTCACTCATATCTTGCAAGTGTCTGGGAGCTGTTCATTCTGCACATTTTTAACTACCAAAGGAAAGATCTGCTGGTACAAGAGCTTAATCATGGCTGCTCTCACATGCTGTACTTCATAAAGCAATTTTGCCAATAGCCTGTCTGCCTTTCCTTCAGTCATAGAGTTTTTTCTCTGTAATGCTATGACTCATTTTACAAGCTTTTAAAATAATAACATATAATTTGTACTTGTTTTTGTTACAAGGTATGGAGCTTTGAATAATGTTTCTTCTCCATCCTTAGTGACAAAATAAATCAATTTGATACTAGAAAATATTACTTTGTACCTGTTCTGGGAAAAGGACAGAACAAATTCACCTTTGTACCCAAGCACAGGGCATTTCTTGGAGAATGCCCTTGAGGCCCTCCATGGACTTGTGCCAGGTTTTGTTTTGCCTGTCACGTTGCCAACTCTGTCCCTTTGTGTGGGACAAACAGTTGGCAGGCTCTCGCCCTTGAGTCCTGATGTGTGTCCTGCTGCTGTTGGCTGTGTGACCTTGGAGGAGTCTCTGCCTTGCTGGGCTTGCACTTACTTCTCTGTAATGTTTTTTTCAGTTGTGTGGATCATATGATGTTTGAATTTGCTTTAACTGTGATTCTAGTTCACTTTTCTCAGCATAAAATGTGATTTTATAAGCACAGATAAAAATCATGTTCATAAAATATTTGATTTTTTTTGAAAAGCAGAGATGGTAGAAAATCTGTCAGATCATGAATAGATCATTGAACAGACAAAAGGCTGATGAATGCAGTGACAGTTCTCACTAAATGTTGCCTTTCCCAGTATTAGAATCAATGTTTTCACTTGAAGCCTGCCATGGAGTGCGTGTTTGATGGGTGTGTGGTGTTCCCTACAGCACGACACAGTATTCCTTAGTATTCATTTGAGGAACTGTTTTGAACGGCAGATACAAGAAGCCTTAATCATCCAAATTTTTGTCTGTGAGTTGTTACTGGTTTCTTGAATTTATTATTTCAGAGTGATTAAAAGGGGGCAGTATAGTTGACACAACACTGCTACCACATCCCCAATTTTGCATGTATGAATTATTGCTGGTGTCTTGAAAATGTGTTTGAGTTGTGATTCGAAGTTATAATCTCCACAACACTAATTTTATCCTATTGTCAATTTTATGTAAAAAAAAATTCTGTCAGTTTCTATGTCTTTTCACATTTTTGAAATTTAAAAAATTTCTTTTCACATTTTTAAAGTTATTTGTTTACTTATCTGTTTATATATTGGAGAGGCGAACAGATGCAGAGATTACTGCAAATGGAGCTCCTTCCCACTGATTAACTTCCCAGTTGCCCACAACGGAGAGGGCTGGACCCGAGGAAAGCCCAGGCTCACATGTTGGTGGCAGGGATGTGACTAGCCAAGCCTTCCCCTAGTGGTGCTCTGACTCCATATTGACAGCAATCTAGGAGTAAGGAGCAGAAATGGGTTTAGATCCAATTGCTCTGGCACAAGGTGTGGCCGTTCCAGCTTTCATTTATTTGGTAGGCCAGACGCCTGCCCCTTTCCATGTTTTTAATTGAGCACTCCTCCTGCCCAGGAGTCTGTTTTTCTCCTTTGCGTGTCTTTCATGCTGTATGTGTATATGTAAGTGTGTGGTGCTTTTAAAGTTAACTGAGAAATTTGAAAGCAGCAAACAGGGGGTAGTCACGGAAAACTTGTGAAATACAGTCTGCTGGAAAACACAGTAGATGTGAGAAGAAGGCTTGGAGAGCTAAACACACACATGACATTTGTTTTTGTAAAAATAAAATATTCTTGAGAAATAATTCATTCTCGCTATTTCATTTTTGGGTTTTGTCATCTTTTTACGTTCTTCTTAGAAGCTTCCAAAATGATCTGCGAATGTAAGGAAGTTCATAACAACATTATACAAGCCAATTCATCAAGATTTTCAAAAATTTGGTCTTCATATGAAAAAGGCGTGCAGTGTAGAAAAGGTTTGAGCATGCTGGGGTACTTGCACACAGTGTAGTACCATGCAGATCAGGAAGGAAATGCAGTCATGAAGAAATTACATGGCATGACATTGCAAAGGCATGCAAACAGCCTTGTACAAAAGAGCACGTGTATGGTGTGTTCTCTGCTGAGTGTGAAGTAATGAAAGATAAACAGTCCTGTAGCGCAAAATAATTTTGCAGGGCCCAGTGCCATGGCCTAGTGGCTAAAGTCCTCGTCTTGAACATGCCAGGATCCCATATGTGCACTGGTTCTAATCCAGGCAACTCCACTTCCCATCCAGCTCCCTGCTTGTGGCCTGGAAAAGCAGTTGAGGACAGTCCAAAGCCTTGGGACTCTGCACCCATGTGGGAGACTTGGAGGAAGTTCCAGCTCCTGGCTTTGGATCAGCACAGCACTGGCTGTTGCAGTCATTTGGGGAGTGAATCACTGGACAGAAGATCTTCCTCTCTATCTCTCCTCCTCTATGTATATCTGACTTTCCAATAAAAATAAATAAATATTTTAAAAAATAATTTTTCAAAAAAGAACTTGAAAAGAGCAACACAGTGAAGAGGATAACCTGTCAAAGGAAGTGTAGGAAATGGGATGGAGAGGATGTGGGATGGAGGTGAGGTATCTTTGAGTGCCTGTTTGGGATAATTTTAAGTTTGGGCAGCATATTCATGCTTCACATACTAAAATGTAAGTCATTAAGAGTGGAAAACAAATAGAAAAAGTGACTCAGTTGATTTTAAATAAATACTGAATTGATCAAAGAGGGAAAATTGATCCCTGCAGCTTGACATTCTTAGGATATGGTACCATGAGGTGGACACATCTTCCATGTAGCATTTTTGCAAGTAATGCACAATCCTAATCCAATCATGAAGCAGCATCAGACAATTCAAAACTAAGGAATAGTGGCAGGGGAAGATTGGGAGAGGGCTAAGACTAACTTTAAAAATAAAACAGTGCTATAAAGGACATGCAGCGGACGTGTTCTAGATTGTTGGTGAATAGAAGGGCCTGTTAGCTAAGTTTATCATCTGATCCCATATTGGCTCCTGTTCCTGTGGTGGGGCTAAGGATGGGCAGAAAGGAGTGTTAAAAAGCACGCGTTTGGGAAAATGGACAAAATTAGGAGTATGCATGAGTGGTTAAATGAGTTGTATAGATGCTAGATTTGCAGACATTGGTAACTGAGCTGTGGTAATGTAAGAAAGTGCTCTATCCCAAGAGAAAATACCACTGTTCCTCAGGGAAAAAGTGTCTGATACTTAGGTATAAGTGAATATCAGTGGTTCATAAAATTATATATCCTTTCTGCGCAAGAGTTCTTCAGAAAGCTTATGGAAAATGGGCTTATAGACACAGGTTTCATTTTTTTGCACTAAGAACAATCTCATTTCACAATCTCATTTCCATGGCCATTTGCACTCCACTCCTACAGCTGTGTGCACACACAGATGTTTGAGGCTAAATAGGAACAAAGGATAATGCAGAGGAGGTGCAGTGTTCGCCATAAATGCATCTGGGGAAAGTCTGGTTGCAATGATGCCATGCTCTATTTTGTTCTGGCAGTTTTTCTTTGAATTTGACATTATTTCCAAATGAGAAAAATTCCTGAAAAAAATACGTTTCAAGCTAAAAATAAGCATTCACATGTTAGGATTAACTAGTAAGACATTCTGTTTAAAGGCAGCTCCAGGCCTGCTAGAACTTGATCCTAGTAATCATTTTCCATTAAGAGACATTTATTTGCAATTAAGAACCATTTGACAATGGATAATGCTGAATTTGTAAAAAAAAAAAAAAAAAAGAAAGAAAATGAAAACAGCTGCTTCAAACTAATGATGATAATTCAGCAAAGTTGTGGAATGCAATACCAATTTTAAAGAAAATAATGCATGAGGACAAGTCCATTGTAAAGAAAAAAATTTTAAAGTAACTTTAAACATTAAAAGATACCCAGAAAGAAAGAAATAAGTATTTTGTGCACCTATGTGGAAATCGAAACAAATTCTTTTATCAAATGCTCAAATGATTAGATTAATAGGAGAGACCACAATTTCTACATTAGTAAAATCAATGTGGTATAGGTTGATCTACTAATAGAGATTCATTATAAGCAAATAAGACTGTGTGTCCTGGGCAACTAAGTAACAAAAATGTAGTAAGATGTCCAGAAATAAAATATCAGACCTAAGGGAACAAAATATGAAAAGATGATTTTGCAAATCAGCTCCAGCATGCGTAATCCCAAGAGTTGCTTGGATAATTTGTCTTCAAATTGAAAAAAAAAATAGGTTCTTACCTCATACCACAGAACTATCAATTCCAGTTGTGCTGTGGATTTAAATACGAACACAATTTAAATGCTTTTAAGAAGTGTGAGGGGAATATCTCCTACCTCACACCACAGAACTACTAATTCTTGTTGTACCCTGTGGGTTTAAATATGAAGGGCACAACTTCAGCACTTAAGAAGTGTGAGGAGGATATCTGTGTAGGATATGATTAGGAAGGCTCTCGTAGGCAGGATGTGTGAATATACTGGAAACAAAATTCTTCCTAATTTTCAAATTTTATTTCATTTTTGACAATTTATAATCATAAATAATTACCAAGTGATGTATGTGAATATACTGTAGAATTATTGAACCATGTTGATTATCACACCAAACAACTTGGTAATTTTCATTTATTGCTTTAGCTAGAACTTTATTCCCTTTGATGCACTTCTCCCCATTCTCCCACAATTCAGCCCGGTATGAAAATCATTCTTCCTTCTGCTTCTACGAATTTTAGATTCTCTGTAAATGTGACATCTAAATTTTTTAATATAAATCTATAAGGAAATATCAGTGGCTAAAATATGTTATGTACTTTCCTAGGATCAGTCCTTTCCAGAATATGAAAATGGTTTTCAGATTGGAATGAGACTGGAAGGCGTTGATCCCCGACATCCGTCTGTGTTCTGTGTGCTCTCTGTGGCTGAGGTAAGAGATGGCAGTGTTGCCTTGGGCTGACTGTGCCGTGACAGAAACTCAGCTGTCTCGTAAAAGGGATAGTACTGTCTGTCATAGCTAAGTGCCACTGCATTGTGCAATTATGTTAGTAAATGATGGGTAGGAATGCTTCCTAGTAAATTTTTATTTTTGTCTTTAGATAGATTTTCTAATATGTCCTTCATGACTGCTGCTTACTTTGAATTAATGGGCAAATAGTTTATACCTGAGGCTGGTAACAGTATTTGAATACTTCAGTGTTGTTTATATTTGCTAACAGTGGTGTACTTATTTGTGTTACGAAAAAAACTAGTGAGAACGTGCATGAATACCATTCAGTCATGTGAATTATACATTCATACAAGTACATACATTTTATGAAAATAATATAAAAAGCCATTGATGAAGCTCAATGGCTTATAAATGAATTTTTCATTATCATGCTTATGAATATTCATTGTCAGTCATTAAATCACTAAGATCTCTATTTCTAATAATATTGATAATAAAAGTCACATCCCCCTACTTCACTAATTGATTATAACTATTAAACTTTTACAGCATATCTAGAGTATGTGTTCCTATTTTTCTCTTTTCATTATTGAGTATACTGGAACCACATATTAGACTTGAGACAAACCATCCCCCTACTGGTTTTTCTGAATGCTTTCACTTTTCATGGAAGACAGCAGGAAATAGAGTTTGTGAAGAAAATATTTGATAGGTATTGAGTTGATAAACTGTCACTGAATGAATATTTGAATGATCCTCAGAATTCAGGATTAAATAAAAAGATATTTTTTTCAGGAGGCTGTAGATATTTGGAAAATCATATTTTATCATCATTTCATTTTAATTGGATGTCAGTTATAAAATTTGGGTTTTTTAAAATTGTATTTATTTTTATTCGAAAGGCAAATTTTTACAGAGAGGTCTTCCATCTGCTGGTTCACTCCCAAAATGGTCACAGCAGCCATAGCTGAGCTGCTCTGAAGCTGAAAGCCAGGAGCATCTTCTGGGTCTCTCCTTTGGGTCTTGGGTTATCTCCCACCGCTGTCCCAGGCCGCAGTCAGAGAGCTGTATCAGAAGTGGAACATCAGGGACATGAACCGACAGCCTTATGGGAGGCTGGTGCCATAGGACAGGATTAGCTTGCTGTGTCACCACATTGGCCATTGTAAATTTGTTTTCTAGTGACAATATTTATATAGAACAATTGTCTTTTACATGTTGATAGTGCTGACAAAAAATATCCATTTTTGTGGCTTTTGTATCTACTTTAACAACAACACTTATTCAATGATTACTAACATTTCACTTTGCAGGTGTGTGGTTACCGTCTAAGACTTCATTTTGATGGTTATTTAAGCTGCTATGATTTTTGGACTAATGCTGGTTCTCCTGACATCCACCCAGTGGGGTGGTGTGAAAAGACCAAACATGAACTGCACATTCCCAAGGGTAAGCCAGGATGCATTTACCAGCTGGAAACAGGACTGGTGGTTATTTCAGCTTTGTTTTAACAACATTTTGTAGAATACTAACAAGAGAGCCTGGTGTGAATTGATTTCCAAAAGCAAAACGTGAGCCACAAGAGCAGCAAGGCCACACTGATATCACCCCTAGAAATAAATGTCTTAGAAGGAAAGCATCAAGACTGCTTCTTTAGTTCTGATATTCTGAACTAAAGGGGGAAGAAATAGAAGATCATGAATGCATTTCCTCTTGAGTAGAGCTGATGAAGCCATATAAGGAAAGGAAATTAATGATCAGATCATAATTCAAATGAGATGTGACACTTGGTCAGGGGCATTGCATGGAGATGACATTTGATTCAATCATTAGTTTCAAGCTTAGGAACCACAGTGAACATGGATCTAGAACAAAATTCCCTTATCTTCTTTTGATAAGAATTAAAAATCTCAGTTTTGCTTATACCCCATAGAAACCTGGGTTTGCGAGGTATGACCCAACGCTTTTGTATGTTCTGTATTTGTATGAGGTGAGGATATGATCAGAGAGATGCTGACGGTTCCCTCTCTCTGAATGGGCTCCTGCTAGCAGCTAGGCATTCCCATGAGCCTGCAACTGTGGCCATGATATAGTTGCTGTTCTTCTTAATCAGCCTGTGTTGTCCATTGGGATCTGCCCCCTTGGAGGCTTGTTACAAATTGCTTCAAGGTGGGAACAGTGCATGTACACATGGGTGCTGTGGAGCCCTTCCTGTGTGTAGGCACTGGGGCTGGAACTGAAAATGAAGCAAGCAGCCTCTGTGTCCGTGTGGCTTTCCTTCTGGAGGATGGAGAGTTGGGGAAGAGCCATTCTCCCGAATACAGGGTGAGCAGAGGCATGGGGTCTCGGATGTTCGTCTCCGTGATGGCTTCCTCATGAGTGGGTGCAATTTCATCTTATCTTTCTGGAAAGCTTTCATGGGGGTGAAACTATCTTCAAACCACAGGGGTACCAGTTCGGGGTAGTCAGAAAATTTTTAGGCAAAAAAACGTATAATGGGAAATCAACCTTTACAGTTTAAATTTAGTACATTAAAAAAATTGAAATAATCAATGTAAATCTTTAGTAGTCTGCTAAGGACATTGAATGTATGTCAGAAGACTGGATAATAATAATAATTATTTAATTTGCATGTGGTTACATTTTGGGATATTTTGAATAATCCGTACTTTTTTAGGTTATAGAAAAGATAAATTTGTTTGGATGGATTACTTGAAAGCCTGCAAACTGCAAAATGCGCCAAAGAAATTATTCAGAAACAGAAGTTCAGTAAGTATTTTCTTCCTCAGTACAAATCATATTTTCCCCTGAGCTTAAGTACTTAAAATTCACTTCATATTATGTTGAATATTAATCTTTTAAGAAATTATGAAAACTCTGAAAACGTCCTGTGGCTTTCTTACTTAATTTATCACAGTTTCCTATGTGTGCATCTTTTTTTCTAAAAGTACAATTGCATGTTGCAGTTAGATGGGGAAAGTTGAACATTATGTGTTTAAAGCCTACTAAAATTTAAGATATCTTTTCCAAATGTTTGCTTTTTCACTTGCTGTCAGTGAATTGGTCTTTCAGACTTAGTTTTGCAAACGTTAGCTATCCCAGATAGGATGTAAAGGTGCCCAGTGTAGATCTATCGAGGAACTACAGAAAGTCCAACAAACTCACACTGCCTGACAGCTCCATTTTCCACAAACTTTTTATGGCAAGCATTTTGTCTGGATACAATAGCAGGGTTATGAGGACTGGGGTGTAGCCATTGGTTGCTGTTTGTGTTCTTAGGATCCAAATGCACCGGAGAGGAAATTACAACCTGACTCTCTTTGCAGTTCTCTGGGTTTAACAGAGGCTGGCATGCTAGGGAGTGGGCAGGAGCTGGACAGCAGCCTGGGTCATCAGTCAGCTCTGCCAGCTGCAGGCCCCTCATTGACCATGAACTTCACTTTCCCCATCCTGAAACTGAGGTTGTACAATTATTATATGTATTTCATAGAATGGCATCAGGGGAAGGGAGCCATTGAAATGTGAAATGGCTTTAAAAATAGAATGTGCTAAAGGGAAATAGCAGTCAGGGTTCAGTGTGGATAGCAGAAGAAATGGGAAAAAATTTCTTTCTCTAGACACTGTGTATCTGCCCTAAATTCTAGGACTGGCTAGTTACAGCTATATCAGAGTGGGATTTGTATATTGTAAATTATAATTCGTAGTATTTTTATACCAGACAAGTAAAGATGTTGAAGAATGCATTTACATTTTTAAATATAATTTTATTCGTGGATCACTACATATGTTCCTTTAAACAGTGAGGAAACCACTACTTTCATATCTGTAATCCAATTACAGATATTTTGGCATTTAGAAGCCTGTCTTTACCACTTCTTGAAGTTGTGGTGTTTGGAAATTATTCAAAAGCTCTTGGGAGCACAGACAATCCTTTGATATTAATAAATTCAGTAAACATAATATCTTAAAGTTAATACATATCAGTGAAGGAATTGGTGAAGGGAAAAATGAAGATGACAAGGGGAATAAAAGCCCCTTGTATGAGAGAGGCAAAAAGCCCAAAGGAAAGGTAGCCTCCCGGGTCTAGTCTGAGTACAAACGTGGAGATTTGGGGGTTTGTGTATACATGTGCTAGGCTTCCTTCCTGGGGGCCACTGCAGATACCCCACAGACATCACTGATGGTGAACAGCGCAGGTGTTTACTCCTACTCAGGCCTGTTTGGTGTTTTGTCTCTTTTCATGTCTCTTCCCCTCCTGGTGCTGTGTTAGAATCGGCCAACACCTAAAGAGTTTCGGGTTGGGATGAAGCTGGAGGCCATTGACAGGAAGAACCCATCGCTGGTGTGTGTGGCGACCATCGCCGACATTGTTGAAGACCGCTTGCTAGTGCATTTTGACAACTGGGATGATAGTTACGATTACTGGTGAGGCACCGATGTGCATTCTATTTCTGTGTGTTCATATTTGTTGCTGTGAGTTTATTTTCCTTCTGATACTCTTTTTTTTATGGTGACGAACATTAGGAATTTAGTGGCTGTCTCTTCTCTACCTTCTCTTCTATGAAGAGCCCAAGATACTTTTCCATCATTTTATGAAAAGTCACCTAATGAAGCCTCACCTGGAACAGTATGACCAGTAGCTCATTGCATTTTTGTCTGGTTTGTATGAGAAGCATTTCTGGGAAGAGGAAATTAAGAACCTATAGTTTTCTTTCTTTCATTCCTGTTGGAAAAATTGTTAAGCTAGCTTGTCACATTTTTAAGAGGAAATATTCAGAGTGAATGGTAGTGAATTATTTGAAAGCCTATGGGGAGCAGAGACAATGTATGCTACGATGCCATTAAACTAACATTGCACAAGTTGAAAGGATTTTCTGTATTAAAAAACTGAAATATGGAAGAGATTATGGCAAAAAGAATTATTTTGCATTTCTTCATAGTGTGTCCTTAAAGATGGACCAGTGTTTGCTGAGGCTGTGGCTCTTGAGGTGGTGCCTGTTGTGAGCCCTGTTTTCTCCGATGCACTTACAAGCAAATCACATGGAGTATTGTGGGCTTCTTCAGAAGAGCAGGGAGGAAAATTGTAGTCATCTGGAATCTGACTGGACTCTCATAATAAAATCTGGACTGTCACATTAGCATTTTTCTTTGCTGTTAGCAAGAAGTGATAGAGAGGAAGTTTATTAAAATGTTTATTTTCAGAGGAAATCACTAGCAGGTTAGGTGTTGTCAACCAGCCCTCCTTGGTTTTTTGTTTTAAATTTTAAGAAGGTTATGTAAAAAAAAAAATTTGGCTACACAGCCTACAAATACAGCACTAAAAATTACTTATTCTCTTTAGCTATGAACTGGTTTTTTTCCATGGTATTCTTGACAACCAGAATCGCCATTTCGCTTGCATTGCTTCTCTGGTGTTGACCAATGTATGATCTAAATGCAGTTTTGTTTCTGCAGGTGCGATGTGAATAGTCCTTATGTTCAGCCAGTTGGTTGGTGTCAGAAGAATGGGAGAACTTTGGTAGCACCCCAAGGTGAGTGGACTGTTTGGGTTTGTTGGATGTCATTTCAGTGAATGGCAATGTCTATTTTTGTTTTCATGTATGTAAATCATATTTTGTACAAGATGTATGATAAAAATGCTGTACAAATTTCTATTGACTGCCAAATGCCCAAAAGCTACATGCTTTTCTCCATTTGAAAACAAATTGTGTTATAAAGATACATTATGTAGCTACTAAAAATTGCTTATTCTTGCAAGTAAGTGTCATTGTTGTAACTCAATATTTAGATGAGTTCTTTCAAATGATTTATAATTTATCTTATAGCTTACTTATAGCAAGTTGGACTATAATACTTTGGTGTTAACAGTAGAAAAACAAAAGTCTAAGAAGAGAGATAAAACACTGAGTCCCTAGATTTGCCAGGCTAGTTCCAATAAACCAACAAAATAATAAGGGTCCTTTGTAAGCTTTAACTTTTTTCCTGATTACATAATAACTTAGAGAACTACACAATAAACTTTTTTTTAAAACTTAAAGGTGAGTCAGACAACAGCTACGAAATCTTAGCTTTTTAAAGTGTTTGTTTATTAATTCATTTGAAAAGCAGAAAGCGAAGGGGAGAGAGAAAGACAGGCAGACATGAAAGAGAGAGAGGGATGGATATAGCCAAAGATCTTCCCACCTGCTGATTCATTCTTCAAGTGCCCAGAACATCCAGATAAGGGCTGGTACAAAGCCAGGAACCTGGCATTCAGTCCAGGTTCTGCGTGAAGGATGTAAGGACGTAGTGACTTGAGCTGTCACTGCTGCCTTGCAGGGTGCCTCTGGCAGGATGCTGGGAGCTAAGGCAGCAATTATGACTCCGACTCAGACACTCCAGTATGTGATGCCAGTGTCCGAGCGTCAACTGCTATTCCAAACTCTTGTCCCTACTCCGAGCATTTTAAAAATAAATGTCCAAGGAGGAATTTGTTTTCTTTCAAAAGTAATATATAGAAATATAGAGAAAGGAATATGTTATTTTTCAGTGGATTGGGTTTTTAGATTTTAAGTGACTGCATGATTTTGTCACTTCTAAATCCCTTAAATATAGAAAAATACCAAAATAATCAATCAAATTCTTAAGTTTGGTGGAAAAAAATAATGGTAGTAAAAAAAGCCATCACAGCACATAATGTCCCATAACTATGTACAATTTTAAAATAAAATTTAATAGCATTTTTGAAAACTAGATGTCTATATCCATTTCTTATAGTCTCTGATCATGCTTCTGTCTGTTCATGTTTGGCTATCCTTGATATCATGTAAAAAGATTCAGACAACATGTGATATTTGGTGTCTGGCTTCTGTCAATTTGCAGAATTTCTGGATGTTTATCCTAGTTGAAGTATCTATCAGTAGTGTCTTCCTTTTTGTGGTGGAACAGCACTGCAGTGTGTTGATCAATTGCAATTGGTTGATAGATTCGTCTGATGATTGAGATTTTATGTACCTTTGACCATCACAAAGAATATCTTTATAGCCATTCATGTATACTTTTCAACATGTACGGATACATTCCCCTTTAGCATATGAGTAAGGAGTAGAATTACTGAGTCTTATGCTAAATCTACACTTAATAGTCTGAGGAACTGATTAACTGTTTTTCTAAAGTAGCTGCACCATTTCACGTTCCAATCAGCAATGTGTGAAGCTTCTTATTTTCCAGATAATTGTTAATCCTTATTTTTGTTTGCATTATTGATAAGTCATCCTAGTGAATGTGAAGTGATACCTCCTGTGGCTTCCATTTGCATGTTCTTATTGCACAGCCTTGTTGGAAGTCTTTACCTGTGCATTTGATCATTTATATATTTTCATGGCTGTAATGTTTATTCAAATTGTTGGTCATTTTTATTATTTACATTTATTTATTTATTATTATAAGAATTCCCTATACATTCTGGATATTAAATCCATACCAGATAGATGAATTGGCAATCTTTTCCCTTGTTGTTAAGGTAGTATTGTCAGATTTTTGAAAATGTCCTTTGATAATGAATGATCATTCAAAACTTCTTTTGCATTAAATTATATTTATTTTGTTTAATTCAGAAAGGCAGGGAGATAGAGATCTCCCATAAGGTTTATTCCCAAAATGCTTGCAACAGCCTGGAACGGGAAAGCCCATAACTGAGAGCCAGAAATTCAGTCCTGGCCTCTCACAAGCACTGCAGAGATCCATAACCTTATGCCACCAAGGACACGCATTAGCAGAAAGCTAGAGTTAGAGTGAAGACTCACCCCCAGGCACTTGAAGATAGAATTCAGGCAACTCAAACAGCATCTCCAACCCTGATCATTTTCAAGACTGTTTTGTCTATTTGTGGCCCTTTTCAGATATGTTAAAATTGACTTTTTTGTTTCCGGGTAAATGACAGTGGGGATTTTTAAAAACACATATTTATGTTTATTAGAAAATCAAATTGACAGAAAAAAGGAGAGACAGAGGGGAGGATCACTCCCCAAGTGGCCACAATGGCCGGAATTGACCTGATCTGAAGGCAGGAGCTTTCTTTGAGTCTCCCACACAAATTCAGGGTCTCAAGGCTTTGGGCCAACCTTGGCTGCTTTCACAGGCAACAAGCAGGGAGCTGGATGGGACGTAGGGCCACCAGGACACAAACCTGCACCCACATGAGATCTTTGGCGTGCAAGGAAAGGACTTTTGCCACCAGGCTACCACACCAGGCCCGACTGGGAATTTTGGCAAGGGTTGTGGATGCCTAGAGAGGTATTAACCAGCTTGACAATAAAAGTTTCTACTTCATGGACATGGGATGACTCATTTATATAGGCCTTCTTCAAAGTTTCCCAACAAAATCTCTTATTTTATAAATCTTTCATCTATTTAATTAAATTTAATTATTATTTATTCTTTTGGATGCTATTGTAAATGGAAGTGTTTTTCACTTGACCTTTGAGTTTGTTCATCACTGTTACAGAAACACAACTGATTTTATATGTAGCTCTTATACTCTGCAATTTTGTTGAATTTATCTGTCAGCTCCAAGTAGTGTGTATGTGTGAGTTGTGTATGTGCATGTGTAGTTGTTCATCTGCACCTCCTCCTACGTTGTTATTACCATATTACTCTGTCTGGACAGTCTAGTACAGAATATAGTATCCGTGGTTAAAATGAACTTCCTTATTTTGTTCGCAATATTAGGAGGAAAGGTTTCAGTTTATTATAATTGAGTATGTTCTTAGCTGTGTGCTTATAATTAAATGCCTTTTATCATGTTATGGAAGTTCCCCTTTATTACCAGCTTTATGAATTGTTTAACTGTGAAAGGGAATTTAACTTCATCCACTGTTTCTTCTGAGTCTTCTGTGTGTCGTGGAGATGAGCATGTATGCCCCGTCCCCCAATCCCTTCAATTAATATAATCAACATAGTGATTTGCTTCTACTTAACCACTCTTGGATTCTTGAAAAAAACTTCACTTGCTGAGAATTAACAACTCTCTCATACTATGCTTTTATTAAAATGTATTTTGGGGGGCTCAGTGCAACAGCTCAATGGCTAAATCCTCACCTTGCAAATGCTAGAATCCCATGTGGGCAATGGGTCATGTCCCTGCTCCACTTCCCACCCAGCTCCCTGTTTATGGCCTGAAAAAGCAGTAAAGGACGTTTCAAACCCTTGGGACCCTGCATCTGCTTGAGAGAACTGAAAGAGAAAGAGGCTCCTGGCTTCTGGCTTGGGATTGATTTAGCTCTTGCCATGGCCATTTGAGGGGTGAACCAGTGGAGTGAAAATCTTTATCTCTCTCTCTTCTCTCTGTAAATCTGATCTGCCTTTCCAATAAGAATAAGTAAGTGTTTAAAATATGCATAATTTTTTTCTTTACTCATTTGAAGAGACAGAAGGGTGAGAGAGAGACAGAGAGAAAGAATACTGCCATCCCTGTTTCACTCTCCCAGATGCCCACAGCAACCAGGGCTGGATAAGGCTCACACCGGGAGTCTAGAATCTAATCTAGGGCATTCGCAATGTGGCAGGAATCCAAACTGTTTGAGAGCTATCATTTGCTGTATCTTGTTCTTAAAACATTTGGTAGAATTTTGTAGTAAAGCCATCTGGTCCAGGGCTTTTCTTTGTCTGAAAGCATTTAATTACTGATTCTATCTCTGTCTGTATAATAGTTCTCTTTAGATTATTAATTGTCTCATGATCAATTTCGGTAGACCATACTTGTCCAAAAATCTATCAATTTATGTTAGGTCTTCTGATTTATTGGCATGCAGTTGTTTGTAATACTTCATGAGCGTGTGTGTCAGAGGTGTACATTGTTATATTTCCTTTTGAGTCTCTGATGCTATTGGTTCATGCCTTCTTCCTACTTTTTTTGATTACTTGGGCTAGTGGGGAATCTATTTTTGTTGTTTTTCTGAAAAGAACAAGCTTTTTGATTCATTGATCTTTTGTGTTGTTTGGTCTCTATTTGGCTTATTTCCTCCTGTATTTTGATTATTTATTTTTTTCTGCTGATCTTGGAATTATTTTGCTGTTGATTTTTTAGCTCCTTCAAATGTTTGGTTAGCCCATTTAATTGATACTTTTCTAATTTCTTGAAGTAAACATTGATTGGGATGAATTTTCCTCTTAACACTGCCTTGACTGTGTCAGGTAAGTTTGGTGTGTTCTGTTGATGGCTTTATTCATTTCATAATAAAATTTCTAATTTCCTCTTTGATTGCTTATATAACCCATTTTTCATTCAGCTGCATGCTGTTCAGTGTCCAAGTATTTGCTTATCTTATTGGGTGTTTTGACTTGTTGGTCTCCAGTGTCACTCCATGATTGTTTGAGAAGATATATGTTATGATTTGGATTTTTACAAATTTGCTGAAGCTTGTTTTGTGGCCTATTATGTGACCATTCCTGGAGAAGTTTCCATGTACTGATGGAAAAAGAAGTGTATTCTGCATCTGTAGGATGAAAGATCATATATATATATCTTGATCAAGTCCATTTGATCTATTGT